ATGTGCATATCAATTTGGCTGTTGGGTGTTGCTATTGGTTTCTTTCCTCTCCTTTGTTCTTCCTTTCTTTCCTTTCTTTCTACCATCTAAAAGTCACAGTACATTTGCTGTAGCACGAAAATTACCCAGCCTATGGCCAAGAAGAAGCTAATCTACCCCCTAGATTTTGGAAAACACAGCAGGTCAAAATGTATGGGCCAATGGAGCACCTTTCCCTGAGTTGTTTTGGAAATAAATCTGCAGGCAGGAGGAGATTGTCTGGAGTGAGAAAGGAATGTGTAAAGAGGTGGGGAAAGAAATGGAGATTAGGCACAGTCTCCAGGAAATACAGTCTGCTCTCCAAAACAATGATGTGGCTTGACAACCAAATGGAATCATGTGGGTCCTGAAATATTTCCAACTGTTTAAAAAGGAAGTGACTGCAGAACCAGCGAAGGCCAGCAAGTGTGTTTTAACTCCCCCAGGAATATTGACTTGCCTCTGAAAGAAGCAGGGAAGAGTCACAGATCCTAGATCCAGGCACATCCTGGCCCAGTTGGGCAGAGAGATGGAGGCGGAGCTTCGGCCGAGACAAGGTGAGAAGGAAAGGGGAGGGAAGGAGAGCAGAGCTGGAGTGAGTGGGATCCAGGTGGTGCTGCTAGAGAGGGCAGGGCAGTGTACACCCGAGTGGGGGGCGGGGGGCGGCCCTTTTCTCCATCAGCAGAATGGGAATATTAGCAATATCTGTGAGGCAAGGTACATTGGTCAGGGTCTCCAGAGAAACAGAACCAATACGATGTGGAGAGAGAGAAAGAGATTTATTATAAGGAATTGTCACACCTGATTATGGAGGCAGACAAGTCCCAGCATCCGCAGGGTGAGCTGGTCAGCTGGAGACTCAGGAGAGCCAGGTGGTTAGTTCTAGTCCGAGTCTGAAGGTCTGAGAAGCAGGAGAGCTGATACTGTGGTTCCAGGACTAAGGACCAACAGGCTCAGGACCCAGGGAAAGCCAGTGTTTCAGTTCAGTTCAAGTCCGAAGGCAGGAAAAAAGCTGACATCTCAGTTCAAAGGCCATCAGACAGCATGAATTCTCCCTTACTCAGGGGAGGGTCAGCCTTTTTGTTCTATTCCGACCTTCAAGTGATTGGTCGAGGCCCACCCACATTAAGGAGAGCAATCTGCTTCACTCCGTCTACTGATTTAAATGATAATCTCATCCAGAACCACCCAGCATAATGTCTGACCAAATATCCGGGCACCTGTGGCTCAGTCAAGTGGGCCCATAACATTAACTATCACACAAGGTTATTTTGATGGCAGACCACATGAAATCACTGTGTCTCTGGAAGCAGTTCATTTGTATTCATGTAAATAGATGGTCGGCATTTGATTAACCACTACAACCGTGCCTCGCTCTTGGCCTGAAATTCCCTCCTGTCGTTTCCAAGCATGTCCTTGACGTGATGGAAGGGAGTGGGGACAGCCATGGAAGGGAAGTGGAAAGGGGGTAGCAGCCCAGATAGGGGTCTCTGTTAGCAGCAGAGAGCTAACAGAGAGCTGGGACCAGAATGTTTAGGGAGACTTTGGACTTAAGAAAAAAAAGACCAGGGGCGCCTGGGTGGCTCAGATGGTTGGGCGTCTCCCTTCGGCTCAGGTCATGATCCCGGGGTCCTGCGATCGAGCCCCGCATCGGGCTCCCTGCTCGGCGGGAAGCCTGCTTCTCCCTCTCCCACTCCCCCTGCTTGTGTTCCCTCTCTTACTGTGTCTCTCTCTGTCAAATAAATAAATGAAATCTTAAAAAAAAAAAAAAAAAAAAGACCACTGGAGAGGCTGAAATAGAGGGCCTACAGAGAGAGGGACCAGGGAGGCAAGGCCTGGCTAGTGGGCAGACTCCAGGAGGAGCCACAGTGGAGGCAACCCCAGCCCATCCCTGCCTTGGTTCCTTTAGGCCCGTTATTCCTATCAGGCTCAGGGTGAGGGCCAGCAGGCCAGCCCGCCCTCATGTCCCCAGCTAAAGGTTATGGGGACTGATGGTACACTCGATCCCTGTAAGGCTAGGTTAAATTAAATTAGAGAAGGACTCAGAATCTTATCAGAAGAAAGGCAGCGACAGAGATAGCATAGCTCCGTAGCTTCCTTTGGCCCTTGGAATTCTGGAGGGGGTGGGGAGGGGTGCCTGCCTGCCTTCATCCCTGGGAGGTAAGATCTCACTGGAAAGTTGCATTTCTTACCCTGTTACAATGGAGCTTACATCACGGTTCCAGAGGATGCACTTCTAACAATCCAGTGCGATCAAGAGAATGTCCGCAAACACGGGCCACTCCTGATTCTGGACCCAGTCCGTGTCGCTAGGGCTGCATCCTCATGTGGGGGCTGAGCAGAGTCAGAACCCAGGAGCACCTGAGCATTGTCTGCATCCAGCTTTCCAGCATTCCAGACAGCACATCCCACACAGATGCCTTCCAAACGAGGAATCCAGCATTGTTGGGCGGTGATAAGCATGGCCTTCAGAACGGGGCACACTGCGGAGACAGTTTCTCCCTTGTTGTCCCTGCTGGGACCCCAAGCTCAGGGAACCCTTGTGGGTCACAGAGGGTGGGCATGTCCAGAGGAAGCAAGGGGCAGTTGGACGGTGGCTCGAAGCCCAGCTCTGGGGCATGGTTCTTGTGACGCCTTGGGCTAGTAGTTACTGAGCTGCTCTGGGTTTAACTTCTCCTCTCTTCTTAACACAGTGGTTCTCAACCCTGTGTTACAGTCACTTCAAAAACTGCAAAAAACGGGGCGCCTGGGTGGCTCAGTTGTTAAGCATCTGCCTTCGGCTCAGGTCATGATCCCAGGGTCCTGGGATCGAGCCCCACATCGGGCTCCCTGCTCCGTGGGGAGCCTGCTTCTCCCTCTCCCACTCCCCCTGCTTGTGTTCCCTCTCTCGCTGTGTCTCTGTCAAATAAATAAATAAAATCTTTAAATAAAATAAAATAAATAAATAAATAAAAACTGCAAAAAACAACTATGCTTTTATCCATCAGACTGTTGGATAAAGCTGGACTCTCTGGACGTTGTAGGTTAGAGACATCCCAGGTGATTGTAATGTGCATGTTCATCTTTTCTAATTTGCTGCTTCTAAACCAGATAACAGAGCTTGTGAGGATGGAGCAGGGTGTGGAGAGTGGTGGTGATGAGGCCGAGTCTGTGGCTCTAGGATTCAAAGTGGAGCAAATTACAAGGAGGCAGAGTTTGGTTCAGACTAGAAAGAAATTTCTAACCATTCCTGAAACGCCTCTTCTGGAATTGCCTTCAGGACCAGACTATGAACCCCACAAGACCATCAGTCTTCTGTAAATTTATACTGAACATGCCGAATTTTGCCAAGTTGGATGAATTACCTAGATTAGTAGACTTGGCTCCAAATCGCTTTTGGCTGCTTCAAAAAAAAAAAATCAAGTCCATTCCCGAGAGTTATTGCACTGCCGCTTCCTGCAAGTTCCTTACCCTCTCTGAGTGTCCCTGGCTTCTTCCCGAAGATGGCTGGGGGCTGGGATGATTGTCCGCATGCCTCCCCTTGGGGAGATTTCAACACAAAGCAGAGGAATGTGAAAGTTCCTGATTCCCTGGGGCTGAACCTGAGTGAAGGTGAATCCTCACATCATCAGTGAGGATCTGAAAGGACAGCGGTCATTCCAAGTTCTCAAGGTCATTCTAACCCTGGAGTGGAGAGCTTTGGGCCAGGGTTTGACCCCCAGCTTCATCACCCTCTGGTCACATGACTTGATCTCGCTAAACCTCAGTTTTTTCATCTGGTAATGGGACTGTGAGGGTCAAATGAGAAATACCCATAAGGTTTTTAGCCCAGAGCCTGACAATTGGTAAATGCTCCATAAATGTTGGTACCTTGCTATTAATGTCACCTTGGATATAAATCTGTAGCCCACCGAGGTGACCGTGTTGCAGGGGACGACACTTAGGTGGATGTGTAAGTCTGGAAGGTTCGTCATGAAGGCAGTCCCACTACTCTGTGGTCACAGCTCATGGATAGGCTTGTTGAGTCCCATTCAAATTCAGGTCTCAGGTCCTTGGCTCAGGACCTCCATTCCCACAGAGCATGTCTGGGTGTGAGAACAGAAGCCAAGGCAAGTGTTTGCTTTGGAACAAAGAAGGGACGAGGATGGATTCCTGGAGGCACTCGCCATTTCAGAGCAAGGAGTCATCTGTTTCTCATAAGATGGAGCACAGGCAGTGGAATCCATCTTTCTGAACTCTCTAGGATAGCTCATTACTTGTCTGGCCCCAGCTCCTGTGGGTCGGGAGAGTGGCTGAAGTAGGACCAGGCCCTCCCACAGCCAGGCCCAGACTTTGAGAATGGACTTGGCTTTCTTTTGAGTCTTTCAAGTTTCAGCTAAAAGCATTTCCAAGTTGCTCCCATCCTCTCCTCCATAACTAGATGTGGGCCGGCGGGGAGGTTGGATTTCGGTGGGGAAGGTGTCCAGGTGAGCAATCCTGAGTCACTGGCTCTGGAAAATCCTGCCATTGCGCTGATTTAAATTCCTAAGAATGCTTTAACCAACTTTGTCCCTCACTGTGGGATTCAAGAAATTGCCGTCCTGAGGCGCCTGGAAGTGTCCGCCTGGTTGCAGGAGTCATGACACAGAGCCGCGTCCCGACAGACCCGGCCATCATTCACAAGGCAAGGGGGCTTTCCCGTGGGGGCTTGGTTTCTCCCCATCAAACTCTCGGCTCATGTTCTGCTCCTTGCACCACCGGTTCATTAAACTTTCCTCTTTAAAAAAAAAAAAAGGGCATTTGCAGCTCAGAGGTTTGTTTTCACTTTATTTATTTATTTTTATTCTGTTGTTATTAGAGTCAAGACATAGGCGAAGTGAGGCGCAGAGGCCCTACCGGATGCCCATATTCCCAAATCTGTCTTCCCTGTTTCATGGCACCAAGGGGACAGTTCACGGTAAATGAGGAAGGCTCACCCCCACCCCCGCCCCCACCCACGCGGTCCCCTCCCAGCAAAACAGAGGCAGCTGGTGCTGGTGGGGGGAGAACATGCAGCTGCCACGGCTTGCTGCTAGTGGAAGGTGGATGTCAGAAGCCGTCAGTCCCATGTTGCTCAACAAGCCCAAACTACTGCCCCAGGATGTACATGGAAGGGACCGGGAAGTATGGAGAGACAGAGTTCAGAAGAGCTGCTGCTTAATAAAGATTGTGTGCCTCCTTCCATGAGGAGCTACTGGCCTCACTGTTATGCCCCAGAGGTCCACGGGAAGGTCTGGTCAGGTGGCCTTGCCTGCCTTTGCCAAGAATGAGCACCTTGCTAGGGGAGCGCAAGAAGCGAACATTTAGGGAACTCCTCCCATGACCCGACACTGAGCTCAGAATCTGACACCCATCCTCTCAGTCTTCACCGCAACCACGTAAACTAGGTGTCATTCCCCCCAGAGGAGGGGAAACTGAGGCTCAGTCTGTGCGTGCGTTAGGCTCGGCTAGGCTGTGCTGTAGTAACAGACGGTCCCAAGAATCTCAGCCGTTTTATGCAGTTAGAGTGCACTTCCCACCACACAGCAGCCTTTGTGCCGTGGCTCAGCGATCCCGGCTGCTTTCACCTTTCAGGACACCGGGTCCACGCCAGGCCTCCTCCACAATCGCCGTGGCAGGGCAGGAGAGAGCCCGGAGAAGCAGGCATGCGGTGTTCGCTCGCCTGGACCCCATTCCATTTGCCAGAACTAGTCCCACGGCCCCAGCCAATGGCAGGAGGGCTGAGTCTTCCAGGCCCTGCGAAGGGGAGGAGGTCCAGATAGTGGTGAACATAGGGCACGTTGACCACAGGGACATTTAATGACTCGCAGGGAGTAAATGGCAGAACGAAGGTGTAAACTGCCCCACAGCTCAAGAAAACTGACACCGGGGAGGTGAAAAGACTTGACATGCTCAGAGCTCGTCACTGAAATACTCCAACTAGAACTTAGTTCTTCCACAGCCTAATTTGAAGCTCTTCCCAACATGTACAACTCTCTGTGAAAGACCACCCTTTCCCCTCAAATTAGCTTGTCTCTACCTACTCACTAATGCCTCAGATCCCACCATCAGGACATGGTGCCTTCACCAGGGGAGGTCATCGTCAACGCAGACAAAACCATCAAAGGGTCATATCGTGTAGCCTTAGGGTTAAGAACGTTGGAGACAGAATTAAGAGAATGGAGAGATCAGGATGAATGGGAGAGTCCAGGAAGGCTGCTCTGAGAAGCTGCTGGCTTTGGTGAGATGTGATTAAAGGGGGAGTTCATTCCTGATGGAAATTCCTTCCTAATTCTCTTTCCTCCTCCATTCTATTCTATTGCATTTAAAAATCTACAGAGGGATGCTTGGGTGGCTCGGTCAGTTGGGCATCAGACTCTTGATTTCTGTTCAGGTCATGATCTCAGGGTCCTGGGATCAAACCCCACATCGGGCTCCCTGCTCAATGGGGAGTCTGCTTGTCCCTCTGCCCCTCCCCCCGACTCATGTTCTCTCTCTCTTTCTCAAATAAATAAATCTTAAAAAGAAAAAAGATTCTCTCTCTTTCCCTCTCCTTCTGCCCTCCCCCTCAAATAGATAAATAAATCTTTAAAAAAATAAAAATAAAATAAAAATTTACAGAGTGCCTTCCATTTACTATTTTATTTAACTTCCTGAACAATTCTGTTAGGGAATTGAGAGGTTAGTCAGATCTTTCTTCCCATTTGACAAAAAAACTGAAACCTACGGAGTATTAAGTAGCTTATCAGAGCAAATCAGAGCCTAAACCCGAATAAAGAAGCAAAAATGTTAAAAAGGAATAATCATCAATCTTCGTGTGTATGTAGTGAAACTGTCACATTTAGAGCTACCTGGTGGTGTATAAATTAATATACTTTATAAAAATCAGGTTTTTAGTACGAAATATTTCATACTAATAATGGGATTCATATAATGCATATATGATATTTAGAATAATAGAACACTATATCTACAACCCTGCTTATTACCAATGTTCTAAAACATTAGGTCACTTTAAGTTTTACAAATGATATATACCAAAATATATAGCCAAAATTCAAATCATGCAGAAGATGGAAACTTTATTTTTTTATTTTTTTAAAGATTTTATTTATCTGTCAGAGAGAGGGAATGAGAGAGAGACAGGCAGGAGGAGAAGTAGGCTCCCTGCTGAGCAGACAGCCCGATGTGGGGCTCGATCCCAGGACCTTGGGATCATGACCTGAGCCAAAGGCAGCCGCTTTAACCGACTGAGCCACCCAGGAATCCCAGAAGATGGAAAATTTAAAGCCCCTCTCATCATGTCAACCTCTGAATCCCACACCCCAGGAATAACAACTGTTAGCAATTGGACACATGATCCTATATATGTTCATTTTGGAAAACAAGCCAGCCATATATATGCATGTGTGTGTGTCAAAAGTCATACAAAAAAGTCCATAACTGGGGAACCTGGGTGGCTCAGTCAGTTGAGCGTCCAACTCTTGGTTTTGGCTTGGTTCATGGCCTCAGGGTTGTGAGATCGAGTGCTGCATGGGGCTCTGTGCTGGGCGTGGAACCTGCTTAAGATTCTCCCTCTCCCTTTCCCTCTGCCCGGCTCCCTGCTCTTTGTCTCTCTTTCTCTCAAATAAATAAATAAAATCTTTAAAAAAAAATCTATAACCTTTGGTCCTGTCACCCCATTGTGGGAATTTATCCCAGGAAAAGACCTCCCAGGCTCCCGTCTTTCCTAGAGATGGCCAAATTCATTCCCACATGAGACTTTTCCCTTGTTTCCTCTGGAACTCAGTTTCCCCAGATTTGCTTATGGTTGGATGTCCATTCAGGTCTCAGCTCAAATGCCACCACCTCTGAGAGGCTGCCCATGGTCACCTGTCTAAACTTGCTCCCTCTCCTCACACAACCTCCTGGCACACATTAGGAATGCACATTTTAGTCCAGAGGATAAATGTCCACTTGTGAAACCAGCACCTGGTCTACTTAAGTAAGGGATGTTATTCGACTTACCTTGGAACACTGGCAGCTACTTCTGCAAAGAAAGAGCTCTTGCTGGCTTTCAAGACTCTAAAAACCTGGCTGAGTGGGAAGTCAGGCCAGCCTGGGGCCAACCTGACTGTCATTTCTTCCAGCAATCTTTCAGATGCAGATACTGCAGGCGGGAAAGTCACCCTCCCACTAACACGTTTTCCTTCTTGGCTTCTAAAACAAAGAAGAGGTAAAGAAAATTCAATGGGTGAGAGTCTCTGTAAAAATAACACCTAGGCAACACTTAATTAAGATGAATAATTTCAACACTCTCAAGTCAGACAATGGAAATATTAAGACTTTCCACCAAAACATCAACTGGGCCAAGTGGGTGGGGTCTCCAGAAGTTTCCGAGAACATTCCCAGGTGGGGGAGTCAGGGAGCAGCTTCTTGCTTAGGGG